GCGCCTAGACTATCGCTACTGTAACGGTAAGTACAATGAACAAGGAAAGTATTTACAGAGGGAAATCATCCGTGGAAATTCAATATCAATGGAGATAGTTTCCATAACCAGGTCCTCAATGGTCTCCGCAACATTCTCCTCCGTATCTCCTATAGGTTCATAGGTTCATGTCTGCGAGAATGTTTCAAAATTGAAATCACTCATACAGGTATTTGCCTATGGGATGTTTCACGCAGCCGAACATGCGAGTGGAGTTCGGGAGGGAGAGTTGCTGAGGGTGACTTTGTCACAACCAAAGAATCCAAACATCTAAGAGCAGTCACAGTTGTTCCTTTAAGGTCAGGTTTCTAGTTAGTAATTCAAACCCTGAGAGAATTGTATGGATTACAAGGTGGTTCTTAACTTCTTAACCTCTCTTTTTTGAATCTGTTTAGTTCGCTAACATTTCAGGGATACAAATATGTTTTTGTGATTATATTAACCAAGCCGAGCAAGTATATGTTACGCACATTGTATGTGTTACTTCTGCAACAGAATATGTAAGAAGGGGCAACGGGGACAATAGAGAGGGTAGACAATCCCAGGATCATTAGAATGATTTTTCTGTTGTATATGGCGCAGGGGACATTACTTGGGAGCAGTCCTTAAGGATGTATACATGGCAGCTATAGTTGCTCTAAATGTAAATAACAGTTTTGAATCAATGAAATTTTAAATTTCATCCAAAATGGATGCCTGCATGGCCAATTTTCCTTGCATCCAGCTCTCTAGCATCTGCAAAGAATTCTTCGGCTGATCCATTGGAACCATGTGACCTGCATTATGAACCTGTATGTGTTTTTCCCAGAAAACAGTTAAGACATTAGAAAGTTGCATAGAAAGTAAATTTTTGCACAGAAACAAGCACACACGCATACAGACACAAATTCAAATGTAATGAGTCTAAAACCTTGAGGAAAGACAGAGCACCGTGAGTCTTCAGCCTTCCGGCTTCTTTACCATCAACTACAAAAGGAACAGTCGGAGCTGCCTGATACTCTTTCTGGCCAGACCATTCCAATGCGTTAACCCACAGGGAATTTCCTGTACAGAGTGAAACATTATCCATTATAACCGGACACACACAGAAAACATTACATTGTTTCCCCCTGATATACGCATAAAATCTGTCGGGGATCTTACCAAGCCAGTTGCATATGAGGTCGTACTCCCCTTCATACAACAGAACCCTGATGCCGTCCTCAAGCAGCTCAGGAATTCCGATTGCCAGATTCCTCATCCAGTCTCCCGTCATCTCATAATACACATCAGTGCTGCAGGAGACAAAGCTTATGTCTCCAACTCCAAGTGCATCCCTGACTGATTTCTCATTCAGGAATGTCTCCATGGCTGAGAAGTCGTAGCACAAGGATCCCTCGCATTGCTTTCTAATATCATAGTACTATGGATCAAAGATACAACAAAATCCGTCATCAAAATAGAAAATGTATTCTGATTGATTCATTTTGTGCTATTTACGGTGTGCTAACTTACGTTTATGTTACCAGCATAAGACAGTATCTGATGAAATATACCATTGCAGGTTTGATAAGAAGAAATACAAGCATTCTCACCCCCAGTTTCTGAGGAAAAAAAAAATGGAGAGAGAGAGCTCCATGATCACTTGATTTTCCAAGAATGAATAAGGAATAAATTTGATCCTGACATCGTATAGACATAGAAAGAATTACCGCAGGATTTTGCAGACTGGACGCAATCAGGAACCTGCTTCTTGATGGAATTATAATCGGATTTTTGGATTATGCTCATGTTCAAAGCATAATCTGGGTATGCTGGATACTGAATTCTAGGATTAGTTAGCCCATTTCCAATAGCCATACCCTGCTCAAGTTCAGTCATTTGAAATCATTTATAATCCAGGAGAATCCCAAATGAAATAAAGCAACTTCAATGTAAGAATTACTACCTTGAGGTTAATGTGAATCCCTTCTTTTGCTTTGTTTCCTTTGTGAACCCTACCGGCAAGAGCAGGAATGTAATGTCCAGCATAGGATTCTCCGGTTATGTAAAAATCGTTCTAAACGAACTCAGAATGTTCCTTGAAAAATGCCTAACAATGTTACAGAGACAGTTCTGTCAATGTTCTCTCAACAACACATCTTTTTTTCGAAATGTATTAGAACATACTAGAGAAACACACCTGTAAGAAGTCATATAGATCATTTCTGACACCCTCCTCGTCGCCACGATAATCTTCCTCATCCGAAGTATAACTAAAACCAGTTCCAATAGGCTGGTCAACAAACAGAAGATTTGATGCCTACAAATTTTGAAAATCTTCATTCAAACTCCCAAATGCGCAGGCAAAAATCTGAGAAAATGAGGGAAAAAATTGGATAACTTTACCTGATCCCAGCCATAGTCATTCCATACAAGAGACAAGTTTTGAGTGATATGAAAAGGACCCATCTCATAAAACAAGGCTATAGAACTGCTGCACCCTGGACCCCCAGACGACCATATCACAACAGGATCATTATTGCTCTTCCGGGATTCGAAGAAATAGTAGAACATCCTGATGATGATTTTGATTCAGGAAAATATGAAATCAACAATCCAGGGAGGGTTAAGTTTTTTTTTTGGGTTAAATAACAAAATTACCTTGTAGCTTTAAAATGTTGGAGTTTATAGTATCCAGCATAATGACCAAATTTTTGAATAAAAGG